TTGAACAGCCAGGCCAACGTGGAATGCCTCGTCAGGACCCGGATCTCACGTCCTACTAGCAAATTGAAATAGATATCCAAGATCCTCAGCAGTGCCAACACCTGTTTCTCAGTCACATTGTAATTCAACTCGTTCGTCTTCAAGGTGCGACTGGCGAACGCCACCGGATGATAGATCCCGTCGTGTTCTTGTGTCAACGAAGCGGATATCGCCCAATCACTGGTATATACGATAACTACCGGCGTTCTTGCCTCGTCGAAATGGCGGAGGACTGGGGTCGTCGCGATCTTGGTTTTCAAGGCGACGAAGGCCCTGTGTGCCCTGATCCACCTCTCGTCCACTGGTCCCGTCAACTTCAGTTCCGGTGGGTCGTGATCTCGAGAGATTGGGTCATTTCTGTCCAAGATCTTCTTCAGATCCGATCGTTTCTCCAGTTCTGCAAACTCCACTTCACGTAGTTCGTAGCGTACCGAGGCATAGATAGCGTAATCTTCGATGAATCGGCTGTAATAGTTCAGACTGCCCAGGAACGACTGCATAGATCGCAGTGATCCGGGGAATGGCAGATCGGTCAACGATCTCAGGTCTTTCGGGCTCGCCTCCTAACCTCCAATCGACACTCGGTGTCCCAGATATCCTACTTTATCCATGCCCCAAAAGCTCTTGGTCACACTGATCGACAAATTCCACTTATCACAAGGTTCCAACAGATCTTCCACTCTTCGGCACATTTGATCCCACGATTCCGCTGCGATCTTGATATCGTCGATGTATGATCTCCGTCCCAACACTGCCTCGCGATCAGGATCGTCCGCGATCCCTGTCTGGAACACGTCCGTTGTAGCCCCAGCGTGGCTTGATGGCGAGATCTTCAAAAATCCATACAACGCGTTGTCTACGAGGCGTTGATAAATCTGCGGGGCATTCTTTAGACCGAATGGCATGCGACCCCATTCGAATAATCCAAACGGGGTGATAAATGCTGAGATCTCGCGAGCCCGATCCGTCATGGGCACGACCCAGAAGCCGCTGGCCATACAGTACCATACTGCTTTATCCAGATCTTCTAGCAGATCACTGATCAGAGGCATAGAGTAAACCATCAATCTCGTGAGGCTGTCTACGAACTTGTAACCAATGCACAACCTGATATCCACACCGTTACTCTTGCGAACAATCACGATCGGTGAGGCCCATGGCGATGTCGAGGGTCGGATTAACTCGGCGGCCAGGAGGCCCTTGATCAGACCTGCGACCTTCTCGCGAAATCGCGTGGGCACTTTCCGGGTTCGCAATGCGATCGGTTCGCATTTCCAACATCGGTATCGCATACGACGCCCTTGGCCGCCGGGGGTAAGGCGTTCCCTTTGCCGATAAGAAGATGTCGTTTCTTCCAGATTATTTGCCCAGCCTCTCGATCTCCTCAGGTGTAGCCGATCCGGTGTCTCCCACCTGCAGATCCTCAATGCTCACCTTCACAGTAGTCGAGATCGGGATTTCGGGAAGGACGGCCAGGTTTCCTTCCAGATCTTCCGCTGAGAAATCGCCGGCTGTCATGGTAGTATATCTCCACCTCGTCCTCGGCATCCTATGGGGTGGTCGCTGTGGCACCGTCTGCCGGCGGATCTCGTTGTTCGACGCTTTCAATAGGACAGATCGGGAGTTTTGCATCGGGATCGAGTTTGATCTGGCCGTGATGGATCTGGGTTTGATTTTCCGTTTTCGGCTCGATATCCTTGGTGCCAGTCCGATCGGTGGCCTAGGCCGGCATGCTCTCACTTATCCCTCCGCCCTCAGCATCGCCGCTCAGGTATCGATCGGCATCGGGGCTAGTCGTTGGCGTAGATGGACGTCCTCGTCCCGGATCGGGGAATTCTGCCTCGATCTGAGTTGCGGCGGCCATTCCCGCCCTCGGTCGAGATTCTAGGGTCGATACCCATGTTCGATTGGCCATTCCCGCCCTCGGTCGAGGCTCCAGGGTCGATACCAATGTTCGTTCTCTGTCGATCTCATCGGATTCCAGCCGGCGGAGTATCGATCGTGGCGTGGGATACGATGGTCGTTGTACTGCCGGCTC